GAAAATTGCAAAGAACTTTCTACAGAAAAACTATATGAATTATTAAGATATAATACGCAAAAATTTGCTATTTTTTTATTTTAATTGTTTATTACTTGAAAATTGCAAAGAACTTTCTACAGAAAAAGTATAGGAGTTATTCCTATAGGCCTATATTACCTAAAAAAAACGCATTGATTTGCTGGATGAGAGTGAGAGATAAGTTAGTTAGCGCCCAGAAGAAATGGAGCATCCTGTATGATTAAAAATATTTTTTGTATATGCACCATATGACCTCTTTTATGGAGACTTTTTTTATTAAATGCATAACAGTTATGGACGAAACCGTCTTAGGTGGAATACCCTGTATACTATAGACTGCTATGTAAATATTTAAACAATATTTTAGAAGCAAAGAAGCCCTCTAACCCTTCATAGTCACCACATTTCCCCTGTGGCCCTTTCAACCTACCTACTGCAAAATGAAAGTCAAAATATATGTACTGAGGAAATCACTCGTAAATAAGGAAAGAAAGTGTTGCAATGAGAAATGTATAACAACAAATCCGGAAGCTAGCCTTCAAATTCCGTCAAGTTTACTGCCTACTTTTTACAAACTTCGGATTTAAAAAGTGATTCACGTTATATAATTGGTGAGGTGATTTAAGCAATATGGTATATGTCCATTTGACGGATACCAATATGGGCACCTGAATTTCGCCGCTAATTTTCGACTTTTCCCTGTAGTTGGTATCTGGTGTTTTACTAGAACTAAATCCCCAGCCTTGAATGATTTTATTTTGGGTTTTTGTTTATAAGATCGAAGAAAAAAAAGAGTACCAAGTTCCTAAGAAAATAAATTGTTAAAGATTTTCAATAGGTATAATAGATAATGGCTTCGCCATACTAATTTCGGTGTGTTTACTATCAATTGTTTTTACACATAATTAAGAGAACTTTTGTATATACATTATTGCATAGTTAATAGTACTAGAAAACGAAATCATTATGTATACCTATTATTTTAGTTATACATGTATACATATATATTGCATAAAACTTTATCCAAAAAAGAGATTTTACTTAATCAATTTAAAAAAATTAAACAGTTTGGAATAATATTGTTTATTTACGCAAAACAAATAAATAAATGAAACATAAAATCTGACGAACAGTTGTTTGGAATATTGTAGCAGAAGAATTTATTAATACGTATCTGTTGCAGTCAAATAAGTGGTTAGTGCAGTTACCGTGAATATCCAGAACGGAAAATGAAAGGGATAGCGACTAGGATGCCCTAAAAGCTCTTTAATTAATTAATTTTAAAAAATGTTTTGACTAAATTGGACGTAATATTTATTCATCATCATAAGGTCATCAGTCCTAAGACTGGTTGCACATGTACCTCCACTCTTTCCTATCCTGAGCTAAACTTCGTATTTCCCTAAAACTAGAATAGCCCACATTCTTAACTATTTGCGAACTAGGTCTACCTCTACCCCTCCTAACTCCTGTTTCTGCCTCTAAAATGTCTCTGACTAGACCTTCATGCCTAAGAAGGTATCCTACCAACCTATCTCGCCTATTTTTTATTGACTTCCATAGAGTCCTCTGTTCTCCTATTCTTTCCAATACCTCTTCATTTCTAACCTTTTCTCCCACGATATCCTCATCATCCGCCTGTAACACCACATTTCGAACGCTTCTAACCTTTTCTTTTCCGCCGCTCCCACTGTCCATGTTTCACACCCGTACAACGCCGTGCTCCAAACATACACCTTTAACAACCTTTTTCGAATTTCTAAATTAA